GGATCTGGGACTCAAACCACTGTTGACCATGTGACAGTCCAGCACCTTAACCACTACTCCACCTGCTGGCCCCAATGCACTCAACTTCACTTTGTTTTTTAATTGCCAGAGGGCACGTATGCACGCCAGGGGAAAGCACGTGCCCCAGAGAGAGAACCCCCGTGGACACGGTCACACTGCAGTCCCTTGGCCTTCATTTCTCCATCTTGTTGGGATCTGGGGCATGCACGCACACCAGCCTAGCATGGTGTTCTCATGTCACCGGGGCTGGGATTCAAACCACATGTCATTCACCATTTACGACCTCATTCTTATAACCACTAGGCTACGGGGTCAGCCCCATCTATGTTCTTTTTTCTTTGGAGAGGTTTTTGCTATAGGGTGCGTGTACTCTCTAGGAAGACAGAGACAGAGAGACAGAAAGCGAGAAATCATCCCCCAGGAGGGATGGCCATGCCGCAGTCCCTTCTCCTCCATTCTCCTCTAGGGATCTTGGGCATGCACAACACCCGGCGTCACGTTAAGCCACTGGGTCCGGGACTTGAACTGCGGTCAACTACATGGGAGTCCAGCGACATAGCCATTATGCTAACTGCTGGCCCCAAGGATCATTTTCTTTACCACTCTGTTTTCTCTATCCCTTCTTCAAATCCATCCATTAGATTAGTATCTAATGGAAAATAACATGGCCTTTGAAGGTAATTCCTTTCTTATTCAGAGGACGACAACAACAAAATCAAACAAAAAATAATAAATAGAGTAAGCATATGTTTTCCAAATGAAAAATCAAACAAAAATTAATAAATAGAGTAAGCATATGTTTTCCAAATTTTAAATGGTAACCAATGACCTGTTTAAAAAAAGGTTGCCATGGTTTGACTCATATGAGTAGTTTTATAAATGAATTATAGTTATATTAATGTTAAAATGAATAATTTTTCTTCATTGATTGGACATACTTAAATAAATGAGAAATAAATAGAACACCTAGCTTCTATATCTGTGTTGCTTTTTTTTTTTTTTTCATATTTTGCTATAGGTTGCATGCACTCCCCAGGGAGAAAGAAGGAGAGAGAAAGTGAAAAATCCCCCCCTAGGAGTATGGCCACATTGTAATCCCTTCTCCTCCATTCTCTTCTCTGGATTCTGAGCATGCACAAACAGGAGCCTGGCATCTTTTTTCAAGCTACTGGGCCCAGGACTCAAACCATGCACTCAGCCATGTGGGATTCAGACGCCTTATCCACTATGCCACTTGCTGGCCCCCACGTTTATGTTTTTGATTACCGTAAAGTTAAAGGATACTCATTCTGATTGGAAATAACTCCTGTCCTAATATTTTCACACCCCTCTTGAGAAGTCTCTGAGGAATTAACTTGTAATATCACAAGTTACATATTCACATGCATATTGATCAGAAGTTACTTTTCTGACACTGACATGACCTTTTGTTCAAGGATTCCCAGCTGGCTGTTAGGGGACCAATTTACACATTTTCTTTATATCTAGAGCATTAATATTCACACTTCATTTTTTCCGACGTATACATTTTTCTCATTTCATTCAACTCAGAAATTCTCATTAAGCTATGATTAAAGCCTTGGAGAGAGCCCTTATGTACAGAAACCATATGTTCTCCAATTTATATTCAAGCCATTAATACCATTTCAACGGAATGTAAGAAAATGATCCAAGAAAAATAATGGAGGACATGAAAATCTTCTCTTGATGAATATAAAGAACAGTTAAATCGGGTTGCTCTGGAAGACTGCTGTGTTCAGTCCACATCACTGTAGGATCTCGATTTTAGTGCAAGCATTTCTGAGTACCAAGATTATGTTGCTCTTTCACAATCTAACAGAATAGATCCCAGGGCGTACCCTGGATGTCACATGCTGGAATCCAGGGACCCATCCCATCGTAGAGGCATAGCCAACCATCTGTCTTTGGATCTTACACAATTTTTGTCAGAAGAATAAGAGAATTTTGAAATATTAAACAGTAAACCTTGCAGCTGTGGGAAAAGACTAAGGATATGAGTCACTTTGCCCATACATAGTACGTACTGTGGGCCAGCTATGCACAATAGTGTTTTGCGTGTTGTGTGTGTGTGTTTACCTCATGTAATAGTCACAAGGTTACCTACAGAATTCCAAGATTATGTGTCAACCTCAAATCCTCAAATGCAAAGATGAACATATGTGTTTCCCATGGTTCTCAAAATATTCACAGATAGCATTTTTAAAAATTTGTACCCAAAAGGGACATAACTGAATATCCATAGAGAACATACAGAATTCTCACATCAAGTGGAAGAGCTAAATTACCAGATCATTCCTCTTTTAGGCGCACTGAGAGAGAGTTTTTGACAGAGAGATTTTTGCTATAGGGGTACGTGTGCTCACCAAGATACAAGAGAGAGACAGAAAGTGACAAATCACCCCCCAGAGGGGATGGCCATGCCACAATCCCTTCTCCTCCATTCTCCTCTTGGGATCTTGGGCATGCATGCACATACATGCCTGGCATGAGTTCTAAGCCACTGGGTCTGGGACGTGAACCATGACTGACTACGTGACAGTCTGGCCATGTAACTATTGCACCATCTGCTGGTCCCAAGAACATGTATTTTGTATCATTTCTAGGCTATTGTCTTCATTTTTTCTTTTTAAGAGAGATTTTTTGGTATTGGGCACATGCACTCACTAAAGAGACTGAAAATGAGAACTCATTGCCTGCCCCCACCCCACCGCCCCTAAGGAGGGATGGCCACGCCACAATCCCTTCTCCTCCATTCTCCTCTCAGGATTCATGCAGGCACATGCACTTGGCGTGAGTTTCAAGCCTCCAGGTCCGGGACTCAAACTGTGATCGACTATGTAGGAGTCCATCAATGTAACTGATACGGCATCTGCTAGTCCTGGTCTTCAATTGTTTTTAAGCCTGTCTTATTAGTTCAATAAATTATGAAAATGAAGACACCATCCCTGTTTTCCTGTTCTTCAGAGTTCAAGAGCTGTAGCAGTTGACACAGAGATCACTAGGAAAACATATGAAGGGGCCAGCAGGTGGCACGGTGGTTAAAGCAGTGGACTCTCACATGGCCAACTGCAGTTAAAGTCTCGGAACTGATGGCTTGCTTTCTCACTTTCCCTCTCTCTCTCTCTCTGTCTCTGTCTCTCGTGAGCCCATATGCCCTATAGAAAGTTAATAATAATAATTATTTTTATTAATAAAATTAAATAAATAATTCTTTTAAAAAGTGACCTTTGACTAGAGAACCCACACTTTATCGGATACTCTGTCTTCATATGTGAAAAAAGTATGAACCGAGTGGATTCTTTCGTACCATGGTGCAAACCAAGGCATCGTGAGTTCCAAGTTAGCAAGCAGTAAACACTTGCCAGGTTTAATAAAGTCATTTCTACTTGGGAATCTCAGCCCGTGTAAGAGGGGCCAAGGATTTCGGTAACAAAGTATTTTCTTTCAGTGCAAGTAACATAAGCATTTATGGAAAGAGGAGAGTTGGCCCATGCGACACACTTGTTACGGGTCTGTTAGCATGCTTCTTTCATTACTGACTTAGGTGGGGGCCTAAATTTCGAACTTCGAAAGTCAACAAAGTAAAACACGAGCAGCAGCTAGCAGGAAAAAATGAACTGTGAAGCAGAGTAAGAGAGTGGCTGATGCTGTCAATGTTTATGAAGTCCTTTTTCTCTGCTCAGTTACCTAACTGCAACTCTGGTTGTTCATTACTGACACCCTGGCTTTTCTTTTATGTCTTACCTTGTCAACGGCTTAGACTGATACCCTAATTTAGTTCCATCTGTTTATGCTATTTTCAAATGTCCGATATGATTCATTGTTAATGATCAACTTTACACAGAACTGCACTTTTGGTTTTTTTTTTGGAGAGATTTTTGTTATAGGGCGCGTGCGCTCACCAGAAAGACAGAGAGACAGAAAGCAAGAAATCACCCCCCAGGGGGGATGGCCACGCCGCAATCCCTTCTCCTCCATTCTCCTCTCGGGATCTTGGGCATACACGCACACGTGCCCGACGTGAGTTTAAGCCACCGGGTCCAGGACTCGAACCGCTGTCAACTACATGGGAGTCCAGTGACATAGCCATTACGCTAACTGCTGGTCCCTGGTCTGTGTTGATTTTTAAAAGAAGATGCACATTCTTTCACTGCACAACTCACTGGTAAAAAATCCCATGCACGCCAACTCTAAAAGCTACATATTATTCAAATACGTGGCATAAGCAGGCTTCGACAACTCCATGATTAATGTCAACAAATGCGGTACCGTTGTTAAGACTTGGAAAGGTCCCATAGGGCTATGCAGACCTGTTTTGGTTAGCATTTATGGTATAAAATATTTTTTTAAGCAATGATTTATTAGAAAAAGAAAATAAGAATCAGATGGTGGTGTGGTGGTAACTCAGTGCTCTGTCAGGCTGTGACCCATGTGAGAAGGTTCTGGGTTTGTGTCTAGAGACCTCACTGAGTACCCTGGACACGTGTGTGCTTGTGATCTGAGGCTGGTGGAAACTGACGGTGGCTCGCACCATCACAACGCTCCTGGGGGTGCCTGGTTCTGTCTCCATCTCTCTGCCTTTCTCACTCATGGAAGATATAGACAGATAGATCAATGTCACATCTACAGTCCAAAGGGCCCCTCAAACTGTGCTTCGCGTGCTGGGTGGCTACATACCAGGGCGTTGACAACAAGTATGTCTGGACTGAGACGGAAGGCAATGAGGTGTGTGTGTGTGTGGATACCCATGCTGTGTGTCTGCTGCATGCCATAAAAACCGTTCCTCGTGGACGAAGCCCCTTTGGAAGGTCAGCAAATAATGTCACAGGGATAAGCAAAAGAATCCATCTACTTTGTCAAACTTTCAAGGGAAATTTTGATGGAATAAAAATGTTGACCTTTAAGTATCTTGGAAATGAGAAGACTCCGTGAACCTTGAAAATTCTGTTCTCTCGTAGCCTCTCTTCCCGAAGAAGAACTACGAATGCCTGACTAGCTGCGAGTTCCTCAAGTACATCCTGCTGGTGAAACAAGGGGAGTGCCCGGCTCCGGAGAAAGCCAGTGGATTCGCTGCTGCCTGCGTTGAAAGTTGTGAGGTTGACAACGAGTGCTCCGGGGTGAAGAAATGCTGCTCTAATGGCTGTGGCCACACCTGTCAAGTGCCCAAGACTCTGTACAAAGGTAAAAAGAAAAGCTGAGTGGGAGTGGGGTGGCAAGTGGCGTGGTGGTTAGGCTGCTGGACTCCACATAGCCAACTGTGGTTCGAGTCCCAGACCTGATGGGTCGAAACTCATGTTGGACACGTGTATGTGCGTGCTCAAAATCCTAGGAGGAGAATGGAGGAGAAGGGATTGCAGCATGGCCATCCCTCTTGGAGGGTGATTTCTCACTTTCCCTCTCTCTGTCTCTCTCTCTCTCTGGTGACCACACATGTCCTATAGCAAAAAAAAATACTCACTTCTGCTGGCGACCACAGTTCGCCTATAACCAAAAAAAAAAAAAAAAAAAAAGAAAGAAAGAAAGAAAGAAACAGAACAAAACAAAACAAAACAAAAGCTGAGTGTGTGCAGAGACTCTCTTTACAAGAGTTTGGGTGTGCCTGGTTTTCCAGGCTGTCAATGATGCATGGGAAATGTCCAGGAAAAGATACCACCTTAGGAAAATTGACTTGCTGGCGTATACAAAGACCTAAAAATACCCATGAAGTATAGAGATCGACCACAGTAAATTTGAATTGGCGCAGAACAAATCATTGACGTTAGCTCTTTTTAATTTAACAGACGCATATGCAGGATGGTAGTAGTTTAGGATTTAAAAAAAAATGTCTTCAGTAAGAATAAATGGATGAAAGCTCTACTGAGTAGAGTGTAATTAATAGATTTAAATCCTTGGGAAAAGGCTGAGGAGGGGACCACACTTGAAAATGCATAATAAATGCTCCAGTATTGTGGGTTTTCTGTTGGCATCATCCAAGAACAGAAGAGTCATTGTATAGGGGCCAGCAGGTGGTATGGTGGTTAAGGATGCTGGAGTCCCACATGACCGACCACGGTTCGAGTCCTGGACCTGGTGGCTTGCTTTCTCACTTTCCCTCTCTCTCTCTCTCACTCTGTCCCTCTCTGGTCAAAATAAAAATAAATAAATAAATAAATAAAGTTACATAAAATAATAATTTTTTAAAAAGAAGTCTCATTGTTTAGAATTTAAATATTTTGATTAGTATCTTGAGATCCTGGACAGAGTAACTGCCCTTTTCCAGAAGGTGGAGATTCGGTTCTTGGAACAATTCAGCAGATGGAACCATGAACATTGGGATCTTGGGCACATGCACACTCGTGCCCGGCGTGAGTTTAAGCCACCGGGTCCGGGACTCGAACCGTGGTCAACTACATGAGAGTCCAGCGACATAGCCATTATGCTAACCTGCTGGTCCCCAAGGGATGTTTCTTTAATGGATTTCATTTGACCGTTTTCATGCCCTTTCTGATAAGACAGATCAAATCTTTGGGCAAAATCTAAAGCCATTTAATTTCTAAAAAGTATGTTCTTATGATACCCTTTCTTTTATTATAGATCACGTGCTATTTATTGTTAGCATTTACCATTACAATAGGGTGTTTCTAAAATGATCATTTAAAATCCACTTGCAAAACCTGTGCTGTTTTAAAAGTAGAGTATTTTAAATTGGTAGAGTCAATTAGTAAAATGTTGAAGAGTCATTGTTAATTTTAAGCATGTGTGGTTCACTGAGAACGAGGGGAATATTCTAGTGAAAACAAGAATAATGAGTCGAGCAAAGGAATTGGCAATTTAAACCTAGGTTTAACTAAATAAGATGGCTTTTTTTCCCCCAAAGCTTTGCTCTAGGATATGTACACTCATCAGAGAGAGAGAGAGAGAGAGAGAAATCACCTCCCAGGGAGTGATGACCACTTTCCAATCCCTTCTCCTCATTTCCCTCTCAGAGTTTGGGCTCCCATGTGCACATACCTGGTGTGTTTTTCAAGCCTTCGGGTCCAGGACTCGAACTCTACAGTTGGTCATGTGGGATCCAGCTGTCTTAACATCCACACCACCTGCTGGCTCCAAGGGAGGCTTTCTAAATAAAACACTGAAGTCACTCTTTGACTACAAAGTAGTCTTCACTTGGATTTTTGTGAAGAGAAGAAATTCCCAGAAAATGAGAAATAGAATAAAGAGATTCCAAAGACCTGACGGGACTTTTGCATAAAGAGTGTGGTAAGGCTAATATAGCATTGCTTTGAAAAAGATAGATACAGGGGCTTGTCAAAACAATATTTAATATACATTTCATGGAAATGTATATTAAAAATTGTATGGGGCCGCCCGCTAGCCCAGAGTTAACCTGCACATCGAGTGGTAGATCTCACGTGACCAATGCTGGTTCGAGTCCTGCCCCAGCAGCTTGGAAAACAGTCTGGGGAATGTGTTCATGTGTGCCCCAAATCCTGATAGGCAAGAGAAACAGAGGGGAAATGCCTACCCCATTGGGAAGGCACTTTCTTCCTCTCTCTTGATCTGGGAAGCACACACACACCCTCTATGAGACAAAAAACTATGTACGGATTTCAAATTTTTTGTACCAAAAGGAACTCATACTTTGATTCTATTTTTGCATGAACAGAAGTTCCCTCTGTGTACAGGTAGACATTTTTCTCTTATTTCTCAAGGAAGGCTGGTTCCCCTGTCCTGGTGGTGTTTGGCAGTTCCCAGGGAGTAAGCCAGTTTGTGTAACTAAAGTAAGCCAGTGTGTAACTAACACAGCGCATGCCACAACCCTTTCAATGACCGCTTAGCTAAGGAGTCACTTGAGCGGGCATTCCCCAGCAGGGCTCACGTTCTTTGTCCCACTCCAGGGATGTCTTTAAGCCCCACGGAATGCATCTTTCTACCCATTCCGTGGCTTTGCAACAAGAAAACCTGCGCCCAGCCAGGCGGTATGCATGTTGACCTTGGAGTGGCCTGGGTCACTGTCTTGCCTGTCTTCAAGACTCCTTTGTATTGCCCAGAACAAACTCGTGTGAAATACACTCACCTGGCTTCTGGCAGTCAGTGCAATCCGTTCCCCTAGGAAGAGTGGGACCCAAGGTGGCGGAAATGAACTAGTCTTGTCCTCTGTCTACACTTGTTCAGCTGGGATCGCAGCCTGTTTTTAGGTGACTCGGAAGTTGGCAGCAGAAAGGCTAACACCTGCTCCCACCTGCGCTAGCTCTCCCGTCACTTCTGTTTCGATGTCCAGGACCCTAACCCAAGGTCTCATTCGGCCTCACTGTGCGGTCAACTAACAGATATGCTGGCGTTGAATACTGGTAATCTAAGAAAGTCACTGGTCAACCAATCATTTTATTTAGGCTCATGAATAACATGGATTTTTATTCCACTGAAATTGTCAGCTAATTTGTACATTAGAAGTATTTATGGTAGCTATAGAATACATGCTATGAAGAGCCCAATGTGATTGGACAAATATTGAAAACCTATGAGCTCCTCGTAAATTTCTCGCTCATCGGTTTACTTTATTTTTAATTGTTTCTTTAAGAGAGATTGTTGCTATAGGGTGTGTGCACTCGCTGGAAAGACAGAGTGAGTCAGAGAGACAGAAAGTGAGAAATCACACCCTGGTGGGGGGAATGGCCACGCCGCAATCCCTTCTCCTCCATTCTCCTCTTGGGATCTTGGGCACCACACACACGCCTGGCATGAGTTTGAAACTGCCAGATCTGGGACTCAAACCGTGGTCGACTACATGGGAGTCCAGTGACATAACCATTATGCCATCTACTGGTCTCAGTGTTTGTTTATTTTTATTCATGACAGTGTGTGTATGCCCTCGAGAGGCACCTCCATAGGGTCCTGTCATTCCAAGATCCGATTTCTGCAGCCCTCCAGCTTGGCAGATTGTTGAGCACACAGCTGGTATGTTCCAGGTGGACAGTCAAGGACCCAAACCTGGGGCAGCCATGTGGCTTCCACCACTGCTGTTCTGTATGCTCTGGACTGCACCACAGAGACGGAGCCAGTGACTAACTAAAGTGTCAGTGCATAGCTAGTTGCGTCTGCAAATCCTCAACTGCATTTTTGCAACTTCTTCCCCCGTAGAAATTTAAAAGAGGCTGTTGTTGGCTGAATCTATGAGTACTGACACATTTCAGTTGAATAAAAATGCAGAGTGCCTTCTCTTTGCTATGAGCCGTCCTGGGTATTGGGGTACAAAGATCAATATAGCACCAACCCCTCTATGGTCCAGTAATTCCTGACTGAGGCAGCCATGCACACAACTCAAATGAGTGGGCAAGCCATTTTTCTTACTTTTGAAATAAGTTGATTTGCATCAACCTCTGCAGTATCTTTTATCACTTGATTATGTTAATTTAAAACATTTTGAATGATATTAGATTGTCAGAAAAGTAATGGCATATTTTTCTATGTAAAAGCGAGTCACAACTTTTCCGACCACTCAATATAAATTCATATATACTTTGGCCTTCTGTGTTTGTGGAAGGGAAAATGAGAGGTTCAGGTTGGATACTGTCAAAAGCTTCATGAAAGACCAGCAGGTAGTGTGGTGGTTAAGGCTCTGGACTCACACATGGTCGACTGCAGTTCAAATCCTGAACCTGCTAGCTTGCTTTCTTGGGGACCAGCAGGTGGCGTGGTGGTTAAAGTGCTGGACACTCCCATATGGCCAACTGTGGTTCGAGTCACTCCCACAAGGCTGACAGTGGTTCAAGTACCGGACCTGGTGACTTGCTTTCTCACTTTCCCTCTCCCTCTGTGTGTGTCTCTCTCTGGTCAAATTAAAATAAATGAATGAATAAATAAAATAACAAAAAGTGCTTCGTGACTAGAAACTTGAGTTTTTTAAAACAGTGAATGTTTTGGACAGATAATAGACCACAATTGTCTATTATCTTTGAACACTGGATTTAGTTTGTGCTGTAAGAACTGTCCTTAGCCGATGCTCGGCACGTAACCTCATAGGCGAGTGCGTAGTTTGGAACGAACGATAGGGATCTTTTACTTTTCAAATAAAAGTATGAGCCGCAAAATAGAAGACTTGAAAAAGTTCTCCTAGGTGAAGGTGCCTGAAGGTGCTATTTCTCTGAAACACAAGCTTTAATATACTTGTGGCAAGTATGAAAGCACATTCTCTTCAGGTG